ATGGTTTGTATGTATATATGTATGTATGTAAGTTTTCATTAATTATTTATATATGAACCCCAGATTTCTTTACACAAATTTTACAACATTGATTATTTTTTTCATTATTTAAAGTTGTTTTTGGTCAAATACTGACACATCACACACACACGTACACAAACACACACACGCACGCGCACACACGCACACACGTGTATGTATATATGCGTATATACACTTAGAAGCTATAAATATGTATATTAATTTGTAAAAAGTTTAGGGTTGACCAGTTAGTTATCTCTAGTCTCCTTTAACTTTGTTAATGAATAAAATTTAATCACTTAATTAATTACTTAATTAATCACTTGATTAGTTAATTAATTGATTGTTTAATTAACTAATTGAATAAATAACTGATTAGCTAACTTTTTTCAGTGATGATTTTGCTTTGGAATATAATTGAATATTAATTATAAGTGATAAGAATGGATTTTGTTAAGTTTAGTTGTCTGGTTAAGTTCAGACGTTTTAATCTTTCATTTATTTGGCGTTATTTTATTTCTTCAAAAATTTATGAAAAATAGGTGCATTTATCAAAATAAATAATTGAATGTCTGGTTTTGGCAAACATTTTGTTGAGAAAAATTAATATAATTTATTTATTTTTATTGATCGTCATCCACTTCGTCCTCGTCGTTGTCGTCAGCAGCAGGTTTTTAATGAGTTTTTACTTTTAATTAATCAACTAATTAATTAATTCCATTTTAAATTAACTTTGGTGCTTATTATTTATTAGTATTGTCTTTTTTTGTTAGTTTAGTAGGGGTAAATATAAAGTAGATGACGAATTTTTTTGGCATTCTGTCAAAATTGAAACACTGAAACAATTTTCTCTTCCACCTCTTTCAAGAATGTTCTGATTCTATTTTAGATGTCGAAGGATGTAGTGAACGGATTGAAATGCCATCGTAGATCTAATAGAAGTTCTTTTTTCACTTTTTAAAATCAAAGCTGTAGAATTACCACAACCCAAAGTACAAACACGCACACAGCAACACACAAACACACGCACACACAAACAAACACACACACAACCAAACACACACACACAAATACATGACAGTATAATAGCCTCTCAATTAGTCACGGTCTGCGTTTGAACTAGAAAAACAATAAAAACTCGAGACACCAGTCTTTAACCGTCTAGGCTAAAAAAAACTTGGCTATTTTTACCGGGAATGTATTAACCTGGAAACATTGTCTCGTTTTATTTCCTTCAATAGTTGGACCTTTTCCTACAAAATCCAAGTTCTTAACTGGTTTCATTTCTTTTCTATTATAGTAAAATTAAGGTTTGTCTTCTCTTATTTTTTTGATAGCTACCCTAGATAAGTCTAAATTTTGTGTATTCGCTTTAAATTTTACTATCGTTGTTATCTATCACACGTTTTGTGTTTGTGTTTATTTGTGTGCGTCTGTCTGTCTGTCTGTCTGTGCGTGCGTGTGTGTGGTGTGGTGTGGTGTGTTACATATGGATTATCTTAATTTCATATTTGTTTCTCAACTGAAAAATATGTATGTATTGTATTTGTTATGGAACGTTACAACGATTGCTATTGGTTGGTTGTGGTCCTAAGTAGAACCTTGAAAGCTTCTAAATGAAAATTATATAAAAAGTTATATTATGCAATTTATGAAATAAAATAAATTTTAAATGATTCTTTCAAAGTTTGGAAGAAAAATTTAGCCCGATATTTTTTAACGCCATTGTAATATATCATACTATGTTTTTCTACTTGGTTTCTCTTTAATGAAATAATTAGATACTTAGTCGAGTTATAAATCAGATGGTGTGTGTGTGTGTGTTTGTGTGTAACTGCATGTGTGTGTGTGTGTGTATGTGTTTGTATGAGTGCATGTATGTATGTGTTTATGAAGCGTATGTATGAGTGAATTGGATACGTATGGTGTGATGTGTCTGTTTGTGTGTTTGTTTGTGTGTGTGTGTGTGTGTGTGTACGTGTATATGTGGTTTGGCTTGTGAAAAACAAACATTCTCTAATCCCCTCATCTCAACGCTAATTGGACAGAATATTCATTTTCTAATTTTTTGCGTTAACTTTTATAATTGAACAATTTCAAAAATCTGCAGAATACAATTTTAGAAAATAAAAGAATAATATTAACTGCATTCGTTTATTTTTCGTTTATCTATCCATTTATACTTTGTTCATAGGTGTGTTCTTTCGTTCGTCCGTTCGTTCTTCATTCGTCCGTTCGTTCATTTGTTCGTTTATTCATTCATTCATACATATCATTCATTCATTCATTCATTCATTCATTCATTCATTCATTCATTCATTCATTCATTCATTCATTCATTCATTCATTCAGAATGACTTTTCTGACTTTTATAAAACACTAAAAACCCCAGCCTAACTGACAAGGTAGTATATACATATAAATCAGTATGTGCCATGGTGAAACAGCAATAATAGTAAAAATATTATTATTTTTGGTATTATTATTATTATTGCTGTTGTTGTTATAAATAAAGCCAATCACAGATATAATTGCATATTCATTCATACCATGCACATACATATTAGTTCAATGGTTCTTATCAGCTAGCAACACACATTCATTCATTCATTCGTTCGTTCGTTCATTCATTCATTCATTCGTTCGTTCGTTTGTTCGTTCGTTCGTTCGTTCGTTCGTTCGTTCGTTCGTTCGTTCGTTCGTTCATTCGTTCGTTCACTCAATTCATTCATTCATTCGTTCGTTCGTTCGTTTTTTCGTTCGTTCGTTCGTTCATTCATTCATTCATTCACTCAATTCATTTATTCATTCATTCATTTGCTCATTTAGGAATAACGATGCCAATAACTATTATAGAGTAATATAATAATAATGATAATAATAATAATAATAATAATCATATGATGGATGTGAATTACTATATATAGTTCCTCATTTTGAATTATAAGTTCGATCGTTAGATTTTTTTTTGCAAATTTTATGTGAAATTGTTGTTATTTTTTTTTTTATAAAATATAATGAGGGTTTTTTTGGTTTGTTTCACTTTCTCTCTCTTTCTCTTTTTTTCTCTCTCTTTTCTCTCTCTTTCTCTTTTCTTTCTCTCCCTCTCTCTCTCTCTCTCTCTCTCTCTCCCTCTCTCTCTCTCTCTCTCTGTCTCTCAATATAGTATTTTAACTTTTAAACAACTTCAGGATGACATATTTAGGAATAATACATTCTTTAGATTCCTTTCGTAAAATGATGATGATGATGACGATGATGATAATGATAGCGATGATGATGATGATGATAAGAAAATTAAAAAGTTTATTTAATTATTATGTTTATGGAAATAACACTGTTTTAAAAATGTTGTATATGTGTCCTTATGTTTGTGTGTTTCTATATAATATATATATATGTGTGTGTTGTATATATGTATGTGCGTGTTGTGTGCGTGCGTGCGTGTGTATGTTTATTATTATTATTCCAGATGAGATTTGAAACACCGTAGTGAAACCAAACTAGAAAAAAAATTGCTAAAAGTAATTTCAGTGCCTTGCTATTCATACTTCTACTACTACTACTACTACTACTACTACTACTACTACTACTACTACTACTAATACTACTACTACTGCTACAACTACTACAGCTACTACTGCTGCTGCTGCTGCTACTACTACTACTACTACTACTAGTACTATTACTACTACTACTAATGATAATAATAATAATAATAACAGCCAACTCTCATATGATTAGTAGTGAACATGTGTTCAAGTGTGTTTTTATTTACACTTTAGTATGTATGTGTGCGTGTGTAGGTATGTGCGTGTGTAGGTATGTGTGTGTGTATGTATGTATCTGTATATGTGTATGTATGTATGTGTGTGTGTACGTATGTATGTGTGTATGTGTTTTTGTAAACAAACATTTCAAGGAATTAACAATTGTGCTTTACAGGATGACGTGTTATAGCTTATAGAGCAACATCATACAAGATGTTATGTTAGCGTGTTATTTCTTGACATTTTTTAGCTCGTAGTTTAGTTGTTTGCCTGTTGGTTTTCTCATTGCTTGCCTCTTGCATCCATGTCACTTTATTTTAACTTTTATTTGTTCGTTCGTTCACTCGTTCGTTCACTCTTTCGTTCACTCATTTATTCATTCATTTGTTCGTGTGTTGTTCGTTCTTTCATTCATTTGTTTCTTTACCAATTAATTCAATCTTTTGTTAACTGATTTGATTATTTTATATACTCGATTTCTGATTGAATGAATAATTGATTGAATGAGTGGATAAATGAATGAATGAATGAAAGGATGAATACATGGACAAATAAATGTGCTTTTGGATGGGAATTATATTGTAAGACGTATGTTTTTTATTTGTTTTTGTTTATGATCATACACACGCACACGCACACGCGCACGCACACACACAAACAAACACACGCATACACACATACATTACAAATACACTTACACTCGTACATGCATACATACATACTTACACACATACAAACATACATACATCATACTTAGATATTATTGACAGATAATTATAAACATTCTCAAGCCTATGGATACCGTTTGATTTTATTTTTAACTATAATAATAAAAATCACGTAACTATCATCATAAGCTTCGTCGTTGTCATCATCATCATCATTATTAACCACCATCATCATCATTATTATTAACCATCATCTCATTATTAACCATCATCATCATCATTATCAACCATCGTCATCATTATTAATCATCATCATCATCATCGTCGTCGTCGTCATATCCTTATCGTGTATGTGAGTTTTTATTTCGTAATGTTAATACGAACAGATATAATTTTCTTGGAGTATGTAAATCTATAAATTATTATTGTTATTATTATTATTATTATTATTGTTATTATTATTATTGTTATTATTATTATTATTGTTATATCATTGTTATAAAAAATGTTATTTTTTTATAATAACAGTTTTGGCAGAAGGATGAATTCGCCATATCGAATGGATGACTGTTTGGTGCTGGACACAGCTGACATGATCGTTGTTAGTGTTGTTGTTGTTGATGCTGTTGTAGTAGTTGTTGTTGCTGTTGTTGTTGATATTGCTCTTGATGATGTTGGTGTAAGGATGCTGTTGTGATTTTGTGTGGAGTTTGTTGTTACTGTTGTTGTTGTTAGCAAATTACATTAACCGTATTCTTACGTGACATGATCGTTGTTGCTGTTGTTGTTGTTGTTGTCGTTGTTGATGATGCTGTTGTTAGCGTAATTATGTTGTTACAAATGATGTTGTTGTTGAATTTGTTGTTGTTGATGTTAGCAAATTACACTAACCGTATACTTACGTACAAAACCAAAGTTGTAATTTTGTAAATATACATTGCTTACATTTCGTATTTTCAGATTGATTACAACAACAACAACATCGTCACGAACAACAACAACAACAACAACAACAACAACAACAACAACAACAACATCTTAAATGAGGTCATCAACATCAAAAACGTCAATATAACCGGCAACGAGTTTAGTGGTAGCAGTAGTAACGACAACATCGACTGTAGCACCGACGGACATTACAACATTTCAATGCTTGTTCAAACCGGAACAAAATATATCAACAACGAACATCACAACAACAACAACAAAAATGAAAACAACAACAACAGCAACAATAACAATAACAATGACATCATCAACAACAACAACAGCAGCAGCAGCAGCAGCTACCACAGCGACGACATCGTCAATCGCAATTATATCGTTGAAGGAAGAATACTTAATAAGAGTTTCTCCTTCTCAGGAAATGACAAATTAACTTATCAGGTATTGGTTTAGAAAGTTGTTTATAGGTATTTATGTACACATACACACACATACACACACACACACACACAAACGTACACAGACATACGCACACATATACGCATACATACAACATACATGCATGCATACATTCACAAACTTATATGTATATGGTATACATATATGCATACAAACAAACACACATACATACATATGTATACATACACGCACAAGCAAACATACAAATATATAATTTAAAAACTTTGTTTAAGTTTGTTTATATAATGATCGAAATGTTTAAATGTTGGCTAGGCTGTTGTGTTGTCTTCTTGCTAGTGTAGTGTTACTGTAATTTCAAAATGTTTACATTTTGTGATTTTGTTAATTTTTGAAAGAATGAACGAACGAACGAACAAACGAACGAACGAACGAATGAACGAATAAATGAATAAATGAATAAACGAACGAACGGATGAAAGAATTAACAAACAAACACATGACAAATTTATTTATAAAAACTAACAAAAAAACCTTTCCCCGCTAGACTCCAGATCTATCTCCGATGTCCGACCACTACCGTCATAGTGGCCACCACCCACACCACCACCACCACAACCAGCGATACCAATTTAGTAGCAGCAACGACAACGACTCGTCCAGTTTGTCATCCATTCTCACTGGACTGCCTGAAAGTACTGTAGATTCCGACGACGACGACGATAGTGGCCGACGTGGTGGCCACCGTGGCCTCTGCGATGGTGATGATGAGTCTGATGATGACGGGTGCTATAGCGATGATAATAAGGTAGATAAGATGTGAGTGAGATGTGAGGGAGATGATGTACACATATCATACATACATCCATACACATACATACATATATACATACACACACACACACACACATACATACATACATTTTTACATACATACATACATACATACATACATACATACATACATACATACATACATACATACATACATACATACATACATACATACATACATACATACACACACATGCATATACACATAAATACACACGTACACGTGATGACGATGATGATGATTGCAAAAATTAATTATTATATAATTATAACTATAATATAATGAGTTAATTATATGTGAGTGATTATTTCATCATTATCTCAGAAATACTCTTTGGATGTAAAACTTCTTAATTAATAATAAAAAAAAATGCCTGAAATCTGTTAAATGTAAAAAGGAGCAAAACCGAATGATTGATTGACGAAGAAAATAAATAAAAAAAGAAGAAAAACGGATTGACAGATTGAGAAAATGGAAAAAAAAGAATAATGATTGATAGATTGAAAGAGAAAATGAAGTTATAGGTAGGTTCAAGGACTGTTTGGTTCATCGTAGCATATAAATCAAACGTTTGTGGGAGTACTGCAAAATACCGCGCCATTTGAACGTATCGTATCGTATCGTATTGTATTCGTAGTGTATTGTATTGTATTTTGTTGTGTTGCATTCGTATTCGTATTGTATTTATGTTGTATTATATTGTATTCTTATTCGTATTCGTTATGTATTGTATTGTATTGTAATGTATTGATATGTATTGTTTTCTAATGTAATGTAATGTATTGTATTGTATTCGTATTTGTATTGTATTGTTTTGTGTTGTATGTGAGCGCTAATAGTTACTAGACACTAAATAACTGAGACTCATATCCTTGAACTACTATTTTGAAATTTACATGCAAGAGATATTTCTGCGACTGATGTAGATTCATTAGTGAAGATGATGATGATGAAGAAGAAGACGATGAACAGGATGCATTTATGATCATCATTATCACCATCGTCATTATCACAATCACAACGATAACATCAACAACAACAACAATAACATCAACAACAATAATATCAACAACAATAACATCAACAACAACAACAGCGTCAACAATGACAACAACAACAACAACAAAATTTTTGCTAACTTTACAAATGTTACGTAGGTTGGCGTGTCAGATGAGGTGTTGGACGCCCTGAAGAGCAATCCCAAAACAGACCATGACGTCGACCTCATACTCGGACTTATACAGCATCTGCCTGTCGGTCTATTGCTGTTCTTCTTCATGTTACTTCTTTTGTTGTTGTTGTTGATGTTTTCGCTTTTGTTGATGTTGTTTTTGATGTTTTTGATGTTGTTGCTGTTGCTATTTATGCTGTTTCTAATATATTTTCAGTATAGCTAAAATTTTCATCAAAATTTATCTGTATGTTCTTATAACTCGTCGTAAAATTGACAACTACACAAACTGACAAATGAATAACTTTTAAACTTTCACCTTTCAACTTTTACCTTCAAACTCTCACCCTTCAAAATGACCTTCAAAAAAATGACCTTCACCTTGCAGGCCTTCAACAACATGACCCTAAACGTCAAACGACTCCTCTGCCAGCGCATGCAGTTTGGTCAGGTGACCCTCGACAATGACGTCATCATGAAAAATGGCGCTCAGTTCGATACGTGGGTGGTCATCTTGAATGGGTGCTTGGAGTTGGAAAGCGTTGACGAGGGGGGTGTTGGTGGCCATGGGGACACGATTGTTGAACTAACGCAGGGGGATAGGTGAGGGGCAGTTTAGGTTTTTTTTTCTGATGAAACTTTCATATTTTTCATCACTATCCTCATCACGTAACTATTACCATGATCATGAAACTACTATCATCATCGTGTAACTATTATCATCACCGTTGCCGTGTAACTGTTATCTCCAGTTTTGGGGTGAAGCCCTCGATGGAGAAGCAGTTTCTGAGGGGTACGTTGAGGGTGAAATCTGACTGCTGCCAGTTCGTCGCCGTCACCCAAGAAGATTATTGCAACATATTCAACGAGGTTCTATGCTCGCTTTCATCATTATTTATACGTAATGTACCTTATTTTTCAGACCATTAGTGTTTTGGGTTTGGATCATTTATTTGTTCTCTTTTCGTTTATTCATTCAATCATTCGTTCGTTTGTTTGTTCGTTCGTTTGTTCAATCATTTATTCGTTTGTTCGTTCATTCATTCGTTCATTCGTTCGTTCAGGGTGAAGAGGACTTGAACAAGGTGAAGGTGAACGGCGAGGTGGTGCTGGTCACTGAGAACAGGAAAGTTGAAGGACGGGAAGATAAAGTCAACGTCATCATCAGAGTGAGTTACCTTGGTAGTTTAGCTGGCTGTTGTGCATCTCGCATCACAGTGTCCGCGTTCGAATGCAAGAAGATCTCCTCTATCACGCACGCACACATTCTATGCATGCTTATTTAATTGTCAACATCCACATCATCATCATCATCATCCTCATCAGCAACAACAACATCATCATCAACAACAACGACATCATCATCAAAAACATCATCATCGTCATCATCATCAACAACGGCAACAACAACACTATCATTACCATCATCACCACCATCATCATCATCGCCGTGGCCTTCAGGGAACTCCAGAACAACTCCTCAAAGAACTCTTTGGCACGACAGCTCCCAAAGACCCAAACTACCTGCAAGATTTTTTACTCACATACCGAACTTTCTATAGATCGACTGCACAACTCGCCTACAAACTGCTAGACTATTTCGAGAAACCTGAATACAGAGAAAAGGTGAGTTTTTTGAATACGTGTTTGTATGCTTTTGTGTATGTTTGTATGTGTATGTTTTGTATGCGTGCGAATGTTTTTGTATGTGTACGTATGTTTCTATGCGTCTGTATGTTTGTTTGTGTATGTTTGTGTGTGTGTCTGTGTATGTATGTATTTGTTTGTGTATGTTTATAGATGTGTATATTTGTATGTATGTTTGTGCATGTATTTTGTAAGTGCATATATTTGTTTGTGTGTGCGTGTGCGTGTGTGTCTTAGCGTATGTTTCGAGACAAACAAATACAAACAAACATACAAACAAAGGTTATATCCATCCTGTTGCA